TTAGGTATAAAATCAAACATCTTTCAATCACATTTTTTTGACTCGTGCAACAATATCAGTCTATTATTCCCTCAATAAGCATGCTCGAATTATTACCGGATGAAATATTGCAACTCATCTTCTGCTATCTGCACAAATTCGACTTAATCTATGCATTCGCAAATCTAAATCAAAGAATTCAACGAATTGTAGAGCCGCACTTGCACGACATTGATCTCACGCAAAATAATAGACCTTGCTATCGAGTCTTTTGCTTTTTTCTTAAACGTACTCTCACTACACAGGAACATCATATTCGATCACTTAAACTCGTCGGTTATCAGCAGCTTCAACTGTTGCGACCTCATATTCGTCGGTTAGCTAATCTGGAATCCCTGACCATAAACAATACACAAGAGAATGATTATTACTTTGAACATGAATTAAATCATTTTCTCATCGAAGCTTTATCAATACCATCATTAACTCACTTGTCAATGTCTCCTTCTGGAAAAAACATACTTGAAACGATTTCCTCCTCTTCTATATTATCAAAAGTGACAACCCTTACTTATATCTATCCTTCTGGTTTATTGAATCTCGACAGAGTTTCACAAATGCCTTATGTCAAGCATTTCTCAGTTACTTTACCACGTGTTGGAACATTAACAAAACTATTCGAGATAATGCCAAATCTCATAGAACTTAAATTATCATCTATGAATTTATACGGTTCGGAAAGTATGAATGGAATAAAAGTGCCAAAGACATTAGAAAAACTACATTTAGAATATGGACGCTATCAAAGATTAATACATTTATCAAGTTTTAAAAGGCTAAAGAATTTTCTTGATCTATTCAAAAGTCAGCTTCGATCATTGACTTTGATTGCTATTGATGGCGACGAAGATTTTTCTTACATTGAAAAATTTCAAAGTTTAGTTCTGAACTTCATTCATCTGGAAAAATTTCAATATTACATACGCACCAATCACAAACCTGATTGTCCTTCACTATTTCCAAATATTGAACAATTGCCAGACTCCAGCTATTCCATCTTTACTCTTCCCAAACCTCAAAACTTTGATACTATATCAGAACAAGAGATAGTCGAATGCAATCATCTCACTCTGCAACAATTATTTTACTGTCATACACTTTCTCTTTCTAAAGCCGAACATTCCTCTCAAGTACATTCAATAACATTCGAGTTAAATGACGACAATCTGCAACTTCTAAAGTTGCATAGTATTCGATTTCAAGATTCAATCGAACCAAATATTCTTCGATCCCTTCGAAAAGCCATAGCTATCTCGCCAAATTTAGCCTTTTTGGAAATAAGTACTACAGATGTAGAGAAGCTACTCAAACAGTTATATGAAATAATTCCAGTGAAACAAACGAAACAAATTACATATCTACAACTGTCGATTCATAGTATTAGTAATTATCATCGATCATTCTTTTCGAAACTTTCAGAAATTCTTCCACATCTGAAAGAGCTCAAAATTTGTGCTAAGTCAGAAGTTCTGGATGATTGTTTCACGTCTTTAACTGAATTTATACTTGATTTGCCAAGTTACTATAGAAAGTTATGTCATTTGACAATTGAAGTCTGGCTGCCGAACTATCGAAATTTACTTGAACGTTATAAGAACGAATTGAATGAACTGGCTCAACAGAGTGACAACCCATTGTATTACACAACCAGTGGTTCTAAAGGCGTTTATTGGCTAAATATATGGTTGTAATTTTAACAAGTCAAGAATTGATTTACTGTATGATATCTTACTACCTTCAAAAGCTAGGATTAACCATTAAGTTTCAGTAGAATTTATGAAAATTATTCTCGCTAACGTGTGACGTTATGTGGTTTATAAGCTTTTTTATTTAAATTTTGTATATGCTTTCTTTTGAATTTCATATTAACTGGCTTTATTAATTCAATTGCAACATTTCGTTAAGATCACATGTATATCTTACAACATCAGAAATGAAGACCTTCGAAGAAGCAAGAATAAATCTTCATATCACGACGCAATCTTTTTATGTGGATGTGGGTGTCAATGAAGAGAACACTCAGACTTAGACCCATTATGACGCTCTACTCAACACTACGATATCTAACAACTAACTACAAGTAGAGCGAATACGACATTTGCAAATTAATGAAAACTGTCAATGGAGTTAAAATAACATTAACACATGTAGAATGTGGGTATGAAGTGAAGAAATACACATACGCGCAGCTACATATTCACGCTCACACCCATAATTGGTACTGATTCTGAGAAAGTATACATGTTTTTTAATTTTATTCATATTCGTCAATAAAAAATATTGAAGCGATCAACTCGATTCATGCTAGAGATATCATAGATTTAGATGTCGATGTGAATGTCTAATAAATAAAGCATACACACTCACAGCTCACTCACTCCAACACCGCATACACTCAAGTATTCAAAATAAATAATACGGTGCGAAGCACAATAGTTCGATTTTCATTCAAACGTTGTTAAGAAATTCCATGTTTCTATATGATGAATCTTTTTTCGAAATTTCGATACAAAGCTCCGTGTTTTTGTTAATTCGATCACAAAATCAAGATTTTTGAACTGAGAATTGTTTTTTTTCGAGATATTAACATCGAGTTTCGCCAACAACCATGATTAACTCGAATGTTGTTGCATCTTTCGCAATTTTCGTTATATCGATGATCAGTAATTAAAATTTAAAATAACTATGGTGAGTGTGGGTGTGTATGGTTCAACATTCGATCATTCAAACAGACACACTTACACCTTAAGGCCCCCTACCTCTCAAAAAAAGTCAGTTTTCATCAGAGTCGTCAAAATTGAGATAAATGCATGGGAAGATAGCCCGTCATTTGCTCTTTCATAAACGATAAAAATTTTTGCTCGATACCTCATTTTCGTCAAAAATTTTTCTAGTTTTCCGAGACTTCATACTCGAAACACCAGTTTTTTTTTTGAAGAACCAAAAAGTCTTTTTCTTTTATTCTCAGTTTTCCCTTTCTCAAACGCACATTCAAAACGTCTCTGACAAGATCCGTGAAATATATTTAAATTTTTTTTTTGTTTGAAAGGGCGTGTAAAGATGCACGGCATAACGAGGCCCGTTTTTTTATTAGGCTTTTTTAAAATTTTATATATAGATATTTTTATAAATTGGCAGCAATTTTTAGAGACTTTTTCAGTCATTGATCTTTTGATCCCTTTTTTGTGCTTAAAAAGCTGGTATTTAAAAAATCGGGCCTTGTCATGTCCTGCATCTTGACATGCTCTTTCAAAAGCAAAATAGTTTAAATATATTGGACGGATCTGGACTGAGAAATTTGGGATGCTAAATCACCAATTTTTCACCCTTCTTTGGTCAATATCTCCCTTAAAACTCATGATTTCAGGCTGAAAATTTTATCGTAGCTTTCCCTGTTCAACCCAAACATTTTCTTCAATTTTCGGGCCATTTGGACGTTCCTGGGCTGAGATCGATTTTTGAGGGGATGGGGCCCTTAAGATCTTGCCACTAGTTTGCTCCAAATGCGGTAATGGATAAGTTGACTGCGGTGAATTTACTTCTTCAGTATGATCAGAGGTGAAAAGTGGTGCGTCTAATGTCTCTATAACGTGCCTTGCAATTACTCATTGATCTCAATAATATATCATAGGCAATAAATCCCTCAAAAACATAGCTTTCAACATGGATAAGTTACGTGACAAGGAGAATATATCATAAATCACATTTTTTACTTTCTACTAGTATGTATCTGACTAATTTACGAGTAATCTATGTATTTACAATTTCGAAATATAGAAGACATAAGCTTTTGTTGATTCAAGGTTTATAACTTATTCAACGGCAATAAAACGGAAGTCTGTAATAAATTATCCATGAAATATTTCACATTCTACTCAAACTACTATAAAAAAAAGGCATCTAGTTGAAGTAATAAAGACATCGTAAAAAAAATGCAACTGAAATCAACACCTATATTTTTGACACGCATATTGATGACCATACAAGTACTTGCTGATCATCATCCATTCATCTGTGGAAAACGTCAATCTTCTCTTTCAACTTCAGCACCAAAGTATGCTCAAACTGTTATTGGTTATGGTCCACGTGGTCCTCTATCAGCTTCCTGGGAAATCGGTATTAAAATCACACTAAATGATGTTTCACAATGTCCAGTTGATCTTCCATTGAATGAATCAAAAGTGAAATGTAACACTGGTAAAATGCTTACGTCGTGGAATACAATCGTTATAACAGAACCGTTGAGATATGAAAGAGATTCAACAAATAGATTTTTTCGCACAAAACGTCTACGTGATGTCATTAACGGAGAAAGTAAATGCTGTGATATTTATATTCTTTGGAATTTTAAAGCACATTTTATTCCTCTCTCTCTCACTCTTTTCAGACCTAGAAGCTGTTGGTCCATGGATAGAAGCTGGCTGTTCTCTTTTACCAACAAGATGGACGAATTATTCTTCTACACCACCAGCCTATACACTTGTAACAATGATTTGTCATGATTGTATACCAACAAGACATGGAGAATATCAAGAATTGTTTGCTTGTGAATGTTAGGCATAACATCAATTCAAGGATAGATTTTAAGTTTTGAAATTAAAACTTTTTCTTTAGATATAAGTTTTATGTTCTATCTTACAATAGCATGTTTTTTGTTGATATAATTTCAAAGTAGAGGGCTTAGAGAACTAACTAAAAGTTGTAAAGCTTACTTATTTCTTGAATTTTAATGATACAATTCTTTTTTCATTAGACGACTGTGATCTCACATGTCTATTCTTGTATAGGGTCAAACACATTCTCTATAGTAATACAGCGTTTATTCTCTTTTTTAGATCATGTCGACTCGTCAGAGGTCTATGTCTCAGACAACCGGAAGCATGACATTTTTACTACCTCTAACTTTAGTTGATAGTTCAACAAACACCGAATCAGCCTTGACTAAATCCTCATTTTGGAATATGCAATTTAAAGATATACTGAAAGTTACCGGTGTACTTTTAGTTCCTTTGATGTTAGGCGTTGCAACTATGATGTTAACTATTCAAAATACTATAGATGCAAAGGAAAATCGTGAAAAAGATTTAGATATTGCACAACGTGAACGTGACCAAACTGCTGATTTAGCTGAGGAAGAAAGACAAGACAATCGTTTAATAGAATATTTAAATGGTATATCTACATTAATGTTTTCAACTCAACCATTAGATCCTCTATTACGTGCAAAAACTATGAGTGTTCTACGACAAGTAGATGTGAAACGAAAGCGTGAAGTAATTCTATTTCTATATGAAGCCAAACTGATTCGAAGCGATATGAATTCTGGAATTCCAATTATTTCATTACAAGATGTAAATTTAGATAATGTTGACTTTAGTGATTTACGACCACCGTATACACAGGTTATATCAAACTTCTATTACGAGACACGTATAGCTCTACGTGGTGTTTCCCTACGAAATACATCGTTTCAAAGACGAAATCTCTATCGATCAGATTTGGCACAAACTGACTGTACACGTTCAAATTTTAGTTCAGTCGATTTATTGGAAGTTGACTTTAGTTATGCAAAATTGGTTGAATGTAATTTTGAAAATGCACGTTTCAATTCTGTTAATTTACAGAATGCTAATTTATCACAATCAAATATTACAGATGAACAGCTGGCTAAGGCACTGACATATCAAGGTGCAATCTTACCGAATGGAACGGTAGCAAAAAATAAAAATCTGTTGATTAACGATGATTGTATTAATGACCGTAGTAAAAATTTATCCGAAATCCATTGGATGGTTGCAAATGGAAGTGTGGCAGTACAGTTATTAAATGATAACTGTTACTTTGTTTCCTATGATTCAGAACTCTCTATGATACATCAACGAATTGATTTACATGGTTATCTCCCTTGGATTCTTAGAAATCGTACTGTATATCGATTTAATTCGTCTGTGTACACTGATAGAGATCAGAACATCAATAGTTATATTATTATTAACATCAGAGAATTATCAACTAATGGTACGGAGTTGGAGAAACAAACAATATGTATGTGTCTAATTTTTTTTCTAAAATATGAGATTGGCTGCAAATATCTCTCCTCTGTTTACTTTACTTCTTTTATTTTAGGTCAACAAGCAGATAGTCGTTTCTGTGATGGAAATTCAAAAATGTGTATAAATGGAATTTGCTCTTTTGACAATGAACTCGATACAACAAATGGAAAAAGTACATTCAGTGTCGATATCGAAGTGTTATTTATAAACAAGAGGAAAAGGAATGATCTACCATTGTCGTCTTCCCATAAAACATCGATATCAGCAATTTTTAATGATATAAAATTCTATTTATTTGTTTTTGAATCTTAATGAAAAGGAGAAGAAGCTGGCGATTCGAAGATTGACAATGCTTTCTCTTCTAACTAACCTAAAGAAGCTTATTTGCAGAAGTTCATTTTCTTGCTTTTGCTAACCTTTTGCTAATATGACATGTTCATGATAGTCTGGATAAGAAGCGCCTGTTGTTTTTTTTAATTTGCTTTGCATGTAGCTTTCGATATTTTGAAGTAGGTTATGTGTGAGTCTAACAGATACGACGCAGCTATTGTTCACAACTTTCAATAAAGGGTTTCTCCTAACGTCTAAGAAATTTACTGTATTCTGTTTAATGTAATGTTCTTTTTGGTGAGGGTTCAATAAGCTTTAATATCATATAAAGTTGTTTCTTGTATGAATACGATTCTTTTGCACTCGAGCCCGAAACGGCAGTGTCACGATCCAGCTTTTTCTATACCCGATCCGAACCAGGCTCGATATGAGTGCCTGTGAGTTTTATGTACGTCTTCTCTTCACCCATGCACGGTCACACAAATACCATACCTACTCGATTCATAACATCATGAAATGCTTTCAACTGATTAAATTCAAGTAGATTAAGCCAAGATGAATCATTTAACCCACGAAATGATTTTGATGGGTATGTATTTAAATCTAAACAAGCACTGTTCTTAATGAATACTTGAAAGTCATCGTGACATGTTTTCATCCGACATATGTCAAGTCTTAATGTCATTATTAATGTACACATGATTCTATTATCTTCATATAAATCACGTGTTGCATAAAACCATGTTCCATTATTAAATAATCATTGATTTTTTAAATATATTTTTACGTTACAGTAAATTTGTTTAATGTTTAAAAATAAAAATGAAATACTTTGTTCATTGAATTTTGAAAAACACCAAGATATTGTTGTAAAGATATTTGATGCATATGATTAACAAGCTTAAAATATAAGCAAAAAACTTCAATCAATTTAATTTATTAAAAAAAGAAACTTGCTAGATACTGCAATTTCTGACGGAAGAAAATAAATATTATGTCCTTGAATAGCAACAATTCGATGTCCTTCTCTTGTTGTACTAATTTTTATTTTTGTATTTTCATCAACAGTAATTTTTTTCTTCAATTCTTTAGCTATTCTTTTATTTACATTAAGTTCTTCAACAAGAGATGGATCATCAAGTACTGAACTCTAATCAATACTTTTTGTTTTCTTCGAATATTTAAAACAATCAACTTTTCACTTCGATATTTATTAATTTAATTAGGGGTGTGGATATGGGTGAAAAGTATATCCAAACTCACAGCCACATCATCACACATCCACAGCCACACAACCACACTCAACCCACACCCTGATTTTCTCCTTTAATATGTCTGTGTCCGTGCAAGATGACAACTGTAATTCTTTGTGTGCAGCGAGGGCACTAATATTCTTTTTTATTCATCATTTATTTTTATGTACAATTTTTCTTTTATCATTTCAATACCTTGCCGCACTTGTTGAAGATGAGAATGATTTGCATATAATAAACGTTGACTGATATCTAGAGCGCATTCAAGAAATGAGAGTGCTTTTGAGTAATTGCCTATATTGTAATGCACACTGGCGATGTTGTTGTAGGATTGCGCAAAATCAAGATGATGTGAAGGAAGTGCACTTTGTCTGATTTGAAGTGCTTTCCAGTTATTTCCCACATCTTCATACGTTCTACCAATGTTATTGTAGAGTGTAGCCAACAAAGGATGATTTGAAGAAAGAGTTTTTTGATAGATTTTAAGTGCTTGAGAATTCTTTCCCATGTCGCTATATAATCCAGCGATGTTAGTGTACGTATCGGCCAAATCAGGATGGTCCAGAGGAAAAGTTTTTTTTGAAAATTTCAAGTGCTTTCTGATAGAATGAAAGTGCTTTGCCGTAGTCACCCATGTGTTCATATAACGAGGCTATGTCACTGTAGCAAGCAGACAATGAGGGATGATTTGGAGAAAGTAGTTTCCTCACAGATTTTGATTGCTTGTTCATAGAATGAGAGAGCTTTCGAATGCTTTGCCATGTTTTCAGAGATTTTAGCGATGTTGTTATAGGAAAAAAAATGAGCGAAGGATAGTTCGATGGAAGCGATTTTTTATGGATTTCTAGTGATTTTTCGTAGAATGAAAGTGCTGTAGAATACTCGGACATGTTTTCATATATCAAACCTATGTTGCCATAGGAAACAGCCAATTTTGGATGATTTGAAGGTAAAGTTTTTTGTCGAATTTCCAATGCTTACAAACAAATCCACCTTCATTTAATTCTTCGCTTCCTATACGAATGAATTTAAGACATGGTGAACAAGTAAATTTAAATTTATTGTCATCGAGTAAATATTCCTCACACGTGGTAGCATTGGTTGTATTATATCGACCGGCAAGCTCCACATTTGACAATAATACAGGTCTATTTAATGGCAGCAATTAAAGGTGAATATTATTTGAGTGTTCGTGCTTAACTTAAAGGTTCTGACTTCATATCAAAACATGACATCGATTTTTATGTGAAAGCAAGCGACGCAACTAATACTACTTCTACTAGCTGCCGTTCTACAACAACTATGACTCGCTATAGGAGTAGCAATTATCTTGTTCAACAAGCTATGATTATTATTTCAATATTTGGACTAACTCTTCTCCTTGGTCAATAAAAAATCAAATTTTTATAAATTATATTCGAGAATATTGAACTAATACATGATTCTTTTTAATAGAAAATCAAGAAAACAAGGTGTGGGTGTGTAAAGCGATTAGAATATTTAGATAGACTCATTTTAATTCATTGAAATTAAGGTTCAATAAATATGTAGCTGTGCACTTCTTTTTGTATCTATTAGAGACAAATTGACATGTATTCACGTTCTTGAGAAGTAAGGAAACGAGGAAGCTGAAGAATAGGTATTCTATTTCGTCTTGTATAGTAATGTAAGTTAGTGTTCGTTCGGGCAATGGAAAACATCATCATCTGGAGTGAGGTCAATGCTAGCTGTGGAATAGTCGATGAGGATAATCTGTTTTTTTTATACTACAATTTAGAAATAGTACGACATAGTTTAGCAAAGTATAGCCGAAATTGCTATATAAGCACTCTGTGTATCCGTCAGGTTATTTGCATCTTTCGATATGATCTATTGATGAAACAATCATTGATTTCATAATTTAATTCTATGGAATACAGTTGGATATACTGTTGTATTTTTCTTCAAAATTAAAATCTATTATTAAGAAATGTAAAGCTCATTTTAATTGTGAAATACCTACTGTTCATATTGATGCTGGAATTTGCTATGTAATTTCACAATAAGTAGTGGCATAACTTCATCGACAACTCTCGATCGAGCCGCTACATATTTCTGAATTAAACGAATCGGTCGCTATGAAATGATAGTTCATCATTTGTATTCGATGTAGACTATGGAAAAAAAATGCAATATTTTCATTTATTGATGTGAATGAAAGTAATTGATCGAATTGAATAAATCAGTGTCTATTTAGAATATAGAATACAAGTTTTCGACTAAGATAAGAGAAGAGATTCAAAGAATTTCATGAAATTTTAGTGTTAATGAAAGTACTAAAGTTTCTAATGAGATATGAGCTATAATCTTTTATCCATCCAGATAAAATTACAAAATACTACAAAATACTTGTTTGAAATGCACCAATGAAAAAGGTAACTCTGGTTAACAATCGATTATCGTTGGAAAAGAAGTATGATTTTTTTAAAATTATTATCATTACCTATGTTGTATTAGTATTGCATGACCCACAATGTTAAACAAACCTGATGAATTAGTGAAATAAATAGTAGAAATGAGAACATTTTCAATATAATAAAAGTTCACAACGTGCATTTTTTATTTGACATTTTGAAATATTATTTCAATATCTCAAACAATATAGCATAAATTTACACCAGTCAACGTTTGTGATTTCCAAGCTTGGACCCTGAATGAGCTATGCTAACAAGTTTTGTTTAGAATGATGCTCATCGAAAATATAAATCTTCACAACCGAACAGAAATGTTAATTTCATCAATATGAATTCATTACTTTTACACCAGTATAGAAAACCCGAATCATGTGTGATTCTCTCATTTTCAACTTGATTCTATATCGTTCTAGATTTTTTTGTGACATTCAGCATGTCAATGTCGGTTCGGTTATATTTTTGGCATATTTCAAGACTGAGAGTCAATAACTCGGGAATTCGATACAAAAACTTCGATTGAAAGAACATCACAATAAGGTTGAAACTGTCATATTGTTCAATCGTTGCTGCTAATACAATAGTTTCAAAGTTAAACATGGATCAGAAACATCTTGAAATAGTTCAATGATAACTCTTGATAGGTTTTTTTTCTATTCTGGCTTCACCTAGCCACATTTCGGATTCATAAGAATAATTATCGATCAACCATCCAAGCCACGCCATGTGTTCAGAATCGTCATTATTTTGCCCACATTCGTGTCGTCATCATCATCAACTGTTAATTTTGAATCTAAACTAATTCAATCTTTTTTTAAATTTCCAATAATCATGTAAATTTTGCACTAATAGAAAACATTTGTACTTCATGAATCTCATTCACATCTACTTGTAATAAAATATCTATAGCTTTTGGTAATGATTCAACTGATTACGGTTCGAGTATGTTCAAATCAGAAATGATATAGTATGGACAGTACCATTTTTTCAATAGATCAATGGCATAATGAGGCCACTTTTTCGTCAATCTTTCTTCATTATCCATGTTGAAAATCATCGTTTCACTCATACATAATACAGTGATTTTAATAAAATAAGATAGTATCACATTTTGTGTGAACCATTTTTGACCTTTTTAGAAATGTATAATCAATTCTTTGTATAATGTCATTCAAGACTTGTTCTTTACAGGAAAATTATTGTACTAAAATAAACTGAACAGAACAGTTTATCTTTGATCAAATGATTTTATTGATTATATTTTGTTGATACAAGATAAAAGGAAACAGACTATAAACATAATTTTGTTGAAATAATTTTTTTCATTGAAATCATATGATTGAAATAAAAATACAACATCAGATTAGCTCACACTTAAGAATACCCTAGAGAAAGTACTGAGTTCAGGGTACCCATGTACTGAGAAAGCTCTAGCAGGGTACCCAATATGGGTACTTTGAAAATTCTCAGTAATTTTACTGATGTATGTACTGTTTGGGGTACCCGTAAAAGTACATTCACTGAATAAGTACCTGCATGGATACACAAGTCTGTAACTTTACTGAAGGAATCTCGACAGGGTATCCTAAATTTTTCGCGTTCTGTGTGGCGACTATTCATTCACCGTTTTCTTTTTTACATACGGCTCTATATAAACAAGTCGATAAATCATAAGAAAATAATCAATTTTCATACTAGTTTTTTCTAAATTATTTCTTGACTATTTCTTAGTCGAGGAAATGCCGAGCTTGGTCGTAAATTAAGATCGGACTACCCTGAAGTGGTCTACGACCAACTCAAGTTGAGTCGGATCCCGACATTGTTCCTGCTAAGTTTTTGGAATTGAAAAAATTAAATTGAATAAAGTTAAAAAAAATCTAGTAAATTATCTCAAGAAAAAGAAAAAATTTGAAAAAGTCAAAGATCAGGTTCGATCCTGAACATACTGAAAATTTGGTAACAGGGTACTTAGAAATACTATACAATGGTACCCAATTCAGTACTTGATCAGTACCTTTAGGTACCCAATTACTGTGCATTTTCCAGCAGGGTACTTGCCAAAGTACCACTTAGGTACCTGTAAGTACCTGCAAGTACTTTGGTACCCAAAAGTTCCTGTGACATACTGGTATCAGGGTACTTTTTTGGGTACCCTTAACTCAGTATATTCTCTAGTATATATACATATGATAAAAAAATAAAGCAACAAAACAAATTTAATATATGATGCATACAATACAAACACAAATAAACTGTTTAAACTTGTTTTCATATTCATTGTGTCTTCATAGGATAGATGAATAGATTATCTGAAAAAGAAATCCTTCAAAATTCCGTCAAAATCGGATGTAATTGCATTATGATAGTTTTTTATATATTATTTTAGTTGTTAGTTGAAATACAATCATAGGATTTACTGTAATGATTCAATTAGTAGCTTCAAAAACTTAC